GCCGGGGGCGCTCGGCGAGCTGGGGGCGCCAACTTCGCTGCCAACTTGAGGGTAGGCTCGGGCGCTGAGCAGTCAAGGACGGCGGAGACAGACGCGGGACGCCCGGGGGGAACCCGGCCTGCTCAGGGAGTCAGGGAGGGGGCGTCCGGGAGGACCAAGACCCTGGGGAACTCGGCCTGGGGTTTGGACCCGGCAGGGCAGCGAGGAGGCGAGGAAGAAGCCGGGGAGACCGATCGCTGTAGACGCGAGGGAAGGACGCGGGCGGAGCGCCCAAGTCGTTCGTCCTCGGGGTCGAGGAGCCCTCCTCCCCATCCCCTGACGCCGCGGCATCGCGGCACCGCCTGGCGGGGTTGGTTCGGGGACGTGGGAGTCTGGGCCACCGAGTCCAACTGTTGCTGCTGGAAGCTGCAGGGGCAGGGAGCGGAGCAAGGGTCGGGACCTGGGGCCGAAGCTGGGCTCCATCACAGCGAGGGGGGCTGGAGAGGACACGGAGACCACAGGCCTAAAGAGGACCAGCGGCTCCTAGATCCGGGTCCCCGGGTCCCCCGTGTCTACCTGGCACCTGATGTGTGCTTCTGCCTCCCATCCTGACCCCTTCACCTTCCTGAATCCCCCAGGCCCTCCCCTCCCTGCTCTTCACCTTTCCCTCCCCTGTCCCCCATTACACTCCACCCTCTGACCTCAGGGAATCACAGTGGACTCTTGGGGTGGTGGCCCCTTTCAAACTCTTACCCTGCGCCCTGGAGACCCAGGCTCAAAGGCTCAAAGAGAAGAGTGGGCAAAGAAGGTCTTGGAAGAGCCTGAGCCCCAGCGGTGCGCTGGGCCCAGGTAGCACAGCCAGCTGCTCTGGTCTCCAAGGGGCTTTGGCCCGGATTCCCCCGACGGCTGGGAGCGGAAGCTGAAGCTCCCTGATGTCAAGGCTTTGGGGCCTGGGCCTAGGAGGGAAGGGGAAGGGAGTCGGAGCGGGGACAAACCCAGGCACCTAGAGCCTGAAAATCCCCAAGGGCGCGTCTGGCGACCCTTCAAAGGTCCTGCTGGGTGGGCAAATCAGGAATCCCTGTCTGGCCTGTTCACCCCATTTGCCCACCCTGTTTGCCAGTCCTGCTCGCCCAGTGGTACTTCTGGCTCTGGCTGGGCTCCCCAGCTCTCGGATGGTGGTCCATTCCAGGATGGGTCCCGGATGTCCTGCGACGGGAAAATTGAGGAAAGGATTTTATTTGAAGAGGGTGCAATTCCACTGGTTCTATTTCAGAGCCCGTCCAGTTGCTGACTCTGAACCAGTTCCTAAACTCGGAAGAATAAGAACGTGGAAGGGACAGGTACGCAGAAAACCCAAGTCCTGGGTTCGCTCCGGCCCAAGGGTGGTCTGGGTTGGGACCTGGCCCACAGTCCCACCTGACCTCCGAACTCGACCCCATTTTCTGGGGCGTTTGAGATCGAGACCCAGTTTTGGGGAGCGAGGCGAGGGCCCAAGAGCTGGGGACGCCCGCAGCGGGCAGCGGCAAGGCTGGGGGCGCCGAGTGCGTGATGCTCAGTTTGGCCACCAGGAGGCGTGGCGCGGGTCCCCTCTCCCGGAGTCACCGCCACCGCTGCAGCATCGCGAGTGTCCTTGAGCTGCGAGTGATGGTGGCTCTTGCCGCTCGCGCCCCCTCCTCCCGCAGGGGCAGCCTGATGCCACGTTCCCTATGAATTATTTATCACCGGCCTAAAAATACCCCGTACTTCACAGCCCGAGTGTAAGAGATTCCTGCGAGGGGAGGGGGCGGGGCGCCCCGGGAGCCCCAAGTGGGATCAGCCGGGAGGGGGCACTTAATCTCGAAGGAGCCAGATCTCGGAGTCCCCGCCATTAGGGGCAAGATGGAGGGGTGGCCTTTTCCCTGTCGACTGGGTTCGGGTTTTGGATGGGGTAAAAAGGAAGGAAGGGAAACCCGACGGCAGAGGAGGGGCGCTAGGCAACTAGGCAGCTGGGGTCCCTCCACCGGGAGGAACCGGCGACGCTGATGGGTGGTGCCAGAGCTGGTGATGGTGGCCTGAGAGAGGAGGCGCTGTCAGGACCCCTTGTGTGGCTGGCTATGCGGGTGCATGCACAGCTCTAGCCAGGGGGCCTGCCTGAGATGTGGGAAGCTGGGATAAGAGAAAGACTCCGAGCGTGTGGAGGCCCTCTGCCCTTCACGAGGTGTGGGGAAGGACTGTCCACTGCCAGTCTCCTTGACCTTTTTGAGATCCAGGTGTTCAGTCAAGATTGTTTTAATGGCCCTTTGGGAAATGGGTGTGACCTCAGGGGGTGGAAAGAGGGCTCTAAGACCATGCTTTGTCCTCCAGCCTACCAGCCTCAGAGTACGGAGGGGCCACTGTGGAGGCCAACCTGGGAGATCCCAACCCCAGAGGGAAAGGCAGTGGGACATAGACCCTGTCTTTCCTTGGGGGTCCCCAGCTGAAGGATCCATGCAGGACCCTGGAGGAGGGGGACTTAGATTGGGCCCTAAAGGACAGTAGAATGTTGTTGGGAAGAGTACACTCCAGCCTGGGGAACAGCAGGAGCTGGCTGGAGACAGGACAGTGTTGGCTGGTTTGGCCACCAGACTAAGCAGGATTGGGTGTCCATAAAGGGAAGACAGTGGGTTGGGGTCAAGATTGGAGGTGGGGGCTGGGCACGGGACTAAAGTGTCTGAACTTCATTTGTGGGCACCGAGGAGCAGCCGTCCTGCTTCAAGACAGGTGCAGGAGCCAGAGGAAAGTTTCAGCAGCCTGGTAGGACAGGCTGGTGAGGTGGAGACAGTGGGAAGGAGGGGCAGAGGCCAGGGGGAGGAGAGTGGCATTGAATGTTATTTCAACATGTAGTCAATATTTTTAATTGATTACTAATTCTGATTAATTATGTACTTTTTGCGCACTGTCTTCAATATCCAGGGTGTAATTCATACCGAGCATATTTTACTTTGGGTGAGGAACGTTTTAAGTCACATGCCCCTGGGGCTACTGAATTGGCCACACAGATGGAGCGCTCACTGCTAGGAAGCAGATGTGACAGAAGGCCAGGGTTTCCTGAGGGCAGGGTACCTATAAGGACTGGAGGTGTGGGCAGAGGTAGCACACAGGCTGTGCAAAGGAGCAGGGAGCATGGCAGTGCCCTTTGTCATCATGCTTTGAAATCCTTAGTTGGTAGTTGCTGAATTGGCATGACTTCGGGCCCCATCCCAGACTCAGCCATGTCTACAGGCTGCCATCTGCATAGTGCATGCGAAGAGATTTCAGGGGTGCCAACACCCGTACAGTATTCTCTCCCTGCCCACCATCCTGTCTTCTCAGCCCGCAATTCTACCACCTGGCGCTTTATCTTAACGCTCTGACTGTTGTTAAATTACATCTCTTGTCGATGATAACACGTTGAGCTATTGTCAGTGAAGGAGCTCTAGCTCCTTAGCAAAGAGAAGGGTTTCTGGGAGAGGCTGAAGCCTGGGGGGAAGGTGGCAGGATATGGTGGAAGGAGAAATAAGTTTAGCAAAAGGAGGTTGGAAGTGTTAACAGCCTGCAGATTCTGCAGATTTGACTCTGAGTTCTGGGAGGGCAGAGAACATGTCTCACCCATGTCAGCATTCCCCCATCCAGCACCCAATACACAAATATGCCAAGTTAAATTTCTGAATTGAAGAGTCTGTGTAGCGGTCCTCTGTGGAGCTCTCTTTTTAACAACACTGGGAGAAGTGGAAGTTTCTCTAATGTTCTCTGATGGCCTCTTGCCCTTCTCTGCCCTCTGTCTTCTTTAGAGAGAACTAGAGACCCAGGAGAGTCCCTATGGGATGCTGTGTAAGTAAGAGTTTAGACTTTGGACAAAGAAAGAGATTTGGTGGCACACAGACCAAAGGAAGGGCCTGTGAGAAAGCCACAGCCTGCCCAGCCCTTTTCCAGAGACCTAGCCTTGAAGGGCGTTTGCCTTTCAGATAGTTGCATGGTTTCTGGGGTAGGAGTGTCGGCAGCTGCTTGCTTTTTGTCTGAATTTTTGTTGCAATGGGTAGTGGGGCTGGAGTGGCAGTGCACACCAATCCTCTTTGACTGTCTTCTGGTCAGAAGGTTTTAGGGCTGTGATGAAGACAGAGAAGGTGGCAATGCTGGGGCCACAGCCAGCTGGGAGGGAGAACTGCAGTCATTGGGCACCCCAGGAGCTTGGCTCTTGGTCCTAATGCAAGATGTGTAGCAGAGATGAGCTTAGGCTTGGGTTAGGTTAGATAGTCCTGCACACCAGCAATAGCTGGGAAGATACCCTGGAGTTTCAGGTGTCCTGAGCTAAGCAAGTCAGTATTGCTGCACCCTACTACAGAGAGCTGTTCCTAACAGCCCACTGAGGGAAGAGGGGGCAATGATGTCCAGTGCTCAGAAGGAGGGGCCTGCCAGGCACAGCCACACAGGGGAGGGCCTGGGGGCTGGCTCTACACTAAGAAGGACACTCTGAGCAGTATGTCCTCATGAGGGACAGATGTAAGATCCAGTTTTGGTTGCAGAGGGGACTGGGGTGAGGCATGGGGCTGTTACAGAGCTGCCTTCCTTCTTTTACCCAGGGGACTGTTGCCTGTATGGTAAGAGTGCTGGCAACAGCAAATAACCTGTTATCTAAGCCCTCACTGCTGCACAGTGGCTCAGAGAAGCTAGTGACTTCCTCAAGATCACCCAGCTAGTAAGTGGCAGATCTGGGACTGGAACTTAGGTCTGTTTGACTCAAATCCATACTTGAACAACAGACTAGCATTTTCTGTGCACCTGGATCGGTGAGCCCAGGTGACTGGGTTTTGGAACACCTGGCCTTTCTAGTTACACTGCAGCAGAACTGAGAGCAACAAGACTGTCCTGGCTTCTGTTCTCCAGCCCTTGCCCCTCTGGGGTGCCCTGAGGATGCTCTGCTAACCTTTTTCTTTCTTTCTCTGTCTTTGTTTGTCTGTCTCCGCCTCTCCTGGTAGAGGGAGGTTTTGTCTTCTCTGTCCTCTGAGTGTGTGTCCTCTGACCCTAGCCCTCACCACCTGTCTGTCCATCTGCCTCTCTCTGTGCTTGTTCTAGTCTCTCCCTAGGACCTTCCAGTGGACATGGGTGGGGCCCTGGGGCCGGCCCTGCTGCTCACTTCGCTCCTCAGTGCCTGGTCAGCACTGAGCCCAGAGCAAGGCGAACAGGCTGTGACAGTGGCTGTGGTGTTTAGCAGTTCAGGGCTGCCGCAGGCCCAGGCCCGTGCCCGCCTCAACCCCCAGAGCTTCCTGGACCTGCCCCTGGAGATCCAGCCACTCACAGTGGGGGTCAACAACACCAACCCCAGCAGCCTCCTCACCCAGATCTGCGGGCTCCTGGGTGCTGCCCGTGTCCATGGCATCGTCTTTGAGGACAATGTAGACACAGAGGCAGTGGCCCAACTCCTGGACTTCGTCTCCTCCCAGACTCACGTGCCCATCCTCAGCATCAGTGGGGGCTCTGCTGTGGTCCTCACTCCTAAGGTGCCCATCCAACTCATGTTCCCTTCTATCTTGGGCCTGAGGCCAGGTCAGGGGCTGGGGACCAGATCTAGATTAGGAAGTGGCTTAGGTCCTGAGAAGCTGGGACTGAGTGGGGCCAGCCAGGAGGTGGGGCTGAAGGTGTGATATAAGGCAGGGGGAGGATACTGTAGGAAGGATGTGTCCATGTTCCAAAGATCAACTTTCTGGACTGTCCCATTTATGTCTGACAGAGGGGTGGGTGGGTGGGTGGCCAGTGCCCCTCCAGCTGTGGTGGTAAGGCCTGTCAGCCCTCCTCTCTGTTTCTTTAGCTCTCTCGGTAAGGCTATAATATGGGGCAGAGGGCCAGTTGGGGACTAGATCTGATGCCATGTCCCCCCGTGTAGGACAGCACTCCAGAGACAGGTTACTGTCCCAGGCATGGGGGAGACACTGCCCTGCCCTCACAGCACTTGCCTTCTCCTGGGGAGAATGTTCCCAACACAGTCACCCGAAGTTCCATATGGGGCTGAGCGTTCTGTAGGAAAGACACAAGATGCCACAAGGGAGGCTAATGGGGTCGGATTTGGATAGGACATTGGACAGAGATAGTCTTTCAAGAAATGATATCTACTCTGAGACTAAGAGGGAGTATAGGAGTTGGGTGACAGGTGGGGAATCCTGGTTTAGGGAGTGGGTGGTGGGTCCCAACCATATGGGAAGCATTTGGGTTTTTACTGTAAGTAAGAGGGCATCCAAGGAAGGTGTTGAGGGAAGAGACTGATTGGATTTGCCTTTATTTCATTCTACTTTATCACACAGAATTCTGAGCACACATAAGAGTTTAATGAATCCCCATCTATGACCGTTCGTCTACCTTGGCCAATATGCCCCATCCTCGTTCCTCCTAATTCTTCTTCTTCTTCTGTGTTAAACCGAATCAAAAGTCCAGAGATTTTATTATTACACATGAATATTTCAGTGTGTATCTCTAGCAGATAAGGGCTTTAAAAATGAAACCAGCACACAGTATCACATCTTAAAAATAATAAAAATTCCTTTAACTTCATCAACTATCCAGCCAGTGTTCAACATTTCCCCATTGTCTCATAAATGTCACAAATGTTTAATTTTAAGTCTGTTTGCTTGAATCAGAAGCCAAATTAGGTTCACACGTGGCAACTGGTAGATATGCCTTCTAAGTCTCAACCTCTAGTCTCCTCCCTCATCTCTCTCTTAATGGCAAGTCATCTGTTGAAGAAATAGGTTGGTTAGCCTGTCCAGTTCACCCTGTGATTCGATTTTTAAGTAAGTGGCCCAAGGGAGAGCACTGGTTAAGAGGGGACTGTGATAGGTGAGCTGGCAGTGTCTTGTGAGCTTTCGTGGTGGCAGAGGCAGTGGGGAGCAGGCCTGGCATCACTTCTCATGAAGTTCTCAGTCCTCTTAGTGCTTGCAAAAGACATATGCTCAGCGTTGCACCTCTGATCCTCAGATTCAGTTGGTCTGGGGCCGCGCTTCTCAAACTAGTGGGCTCAAGGCAAACTGTAAGAGCTTGTTACCATAGATCCCAAGCGTCATCCCCAGAGATTCCGATTCAGTCAGTGTGGGGGACTGCTCGGGAATCTGCCTTTCTAACACGCGCCTAGACGGTGGTGTTGATGCTCTGGTCTGTGGTCCAGCATGGTCTGGTGGAGGCCCGGCATGCGTAGTTTACAACGCTTCCCAGGAGATTCCGATGGGCAGAGGGTCTAGAAGCCACGTCGGGGCAGGACGTTGCAGGGGTTGCGGGAACCCGAGCATCCTTTGTAGCCTGGGTGTCGGGACCACGTTCAGGGGCGGAGGAAGGAGGGGTCGCGAGGCGGAGCTCAGCCCGCCCCGCCCCGCCTCAGACCACGCCCACTGTCCCGCCCCCCAGGAGCCGGGCTCCGCCTTCCTGCAGCTGGGCGTGTCCCTGGAGCAGCAGCTGCAGGTGCTGTTCAAGGTCCTGGAGGAGTACGACTGGAGCGCGTTCGCGGTCATCACCAGCCTGCACCCGGGCCACTCGCTCTTCCTCGAGGGCGTGCGCGCTGTCGCCGACGCCAGCTACCTGAGCTGGCGGCTGCTGGACGTGCTCACGCTGGAGCTGGGCCCGGGCGGGCCGCGCGCGCGCACCCAGCGCCTGTTGCGCCAGGTGGACGCACCGGTGCTGGTGGCCTACTGCTCGCGCGAGGAGGCTGAGGTGCTCTTCGCCGAGGCGGCACAGGCCGGCCTGGTGGGACCCGGCCACGTGTGGTTAGTGCCCAACCTGGCGCTGGGCAGCACCGACGCGCCCCCTGCTGTCTTCCCCGTGGGTCTCATCAGTGTGGTCACCGAGAGCTGGCGCCTTAGCCTGCGCCAGAAGGTCCGCGACGGCGTGGCCATACTGGCCCTGGGCGCCCACGGTTACCGGCGACAGCACGGTATCCTGCCCGCTCCAGCTGGGGACTGTCACAGCCACCCCGGGCCGGTTAGTCCAGCCCGGGAGGCATTCTACAGGTGGGCACCTGGCCCAGGCATGGGGTGGCAGTAAGCTTGGGCTCTCTGGTTCCACCACCCACTAGCATGTGCTAGGCAGCAAGTTACTTCATCCCCCTGGGCCATGGTGTCCTCATCTGAATAAAACAGCAGGTGCTGATGTGGTGAGGGTGAGGATCCAGGGGTCCATATGGGGAAACATTTGGAAGGATAATTACACAACAGATGCCCCGATTGATAGTGGCAGTGGTGGTGAGGGATGGACCCTGGGGGGGAGCCATGGGCTGGGGTATGGGGACACCTTGGCATCTCTCCCCATCACAGGCACCTATTGAATGTCACCTGGGAGGGCCGAGACTTCTCCTTCAGCCCTGGTGGGTACCTGGTCCAGCCCACCATGGTTGTGATTGCTCTCAACCGGCACCGCCTCTGGGAGATGGTGAGAAGGGGGTGAGCCCAGGAGCCCCTCTCAAGCCCACAGCTGAGCAGAGTCCTTTCTGTCCCTTGTCCAGCCCCGCATCTTCCAGATCTCAGCTGAAACATCTTTCACTGGGAAGCCTTCCAGGTCGCCCAGGATGGGCGAGGTGACCCTGCTCTGGGATCCCATAATACCCTGACTTGCCTGCACTACAGAACTCACCAAGCACTTTTATCACAGAGTCCTGCCCCTGGGGGAGTGACCCATGTCTGTGCCAGCCAGATGGAAAAGTAAATAAGTAGAATATGGAGAGCTCAGTGCGTAGGTAGAGATGTGTGCAAAACAATATGGGAGCAGAGAAGAGGAGCAGGAATCAGTTCTGCTTTCAAAGGAGGAAACTGGAGAATGTGTTACAGAATATAGAGCATTTGAGGTGGGCTGTCGAGGATTGAGTGGGAGCCTACCAGGAAGGGGTGCTAGTCTGGCATAGACAGAGGGGCATTCTTAAGTATGTGGCAGGTGTATTTGGGGTGTGAAGACTTGATGGGATGATGGGACATATTGGACCTGAGTGTGTGAAGGGCCTTTAGTGTCAGCTAAGGCCTTTGTGCTGAGGACTAGCATGGTGAGACCGGGTCAGCCTGAGTGTTAGGAAGATGCCGTGGGCTGACAACAGTAGAGAGGCTACACTGGAGAACACAGAGCAGGGACCTGGGGAGGCTGCGGGGAGCCTGTCCATCTGACTGTGCTCAGCCCTTTCCCAGACTCTCCTGTTTTCCAAATCCTGCAACTCAGACCCTACTCCACATACATGTCCCTAGGCAAGAAGGGGGAATTCTTGGCCCTGGGAGGTGGCACCCAGAAGCCCCACCTAGAGCAGGGAGTAGTAAGGCTAGAGGTCCTAGGTTGAGGCCAGTTGTCCTCTGCAGGTGGGGCGCTGGGATCATGGTGTCCTCTATATGAAGTATCCAGTGTGGCCTCGCTATAGCACCTCCCTCCAGCCTGTGGTGGATAGCCGGCACTTGACAGTGGCCACGCTAGAAGAGCGGCCCTTTGTCATCGTGGAGAGCCCAGACCCTGGCACAGGTGGCTGTGTACCCAACACCGTGCCCTGCCGCAGGCAGAGCAACCACACTTTCAGGTCTGACTTGAGCTGGGTGTTGGCCTGGGAGGCATAGCTGCCTTGTGTGTGTGTGCGGGGGGGTGATGCTCGGATGCAGGGTGAGGCCCACACACCAGGCTGGGAGGAGCTGTGGTTGCTGCAGGCTGCAATGTGCTCTGACTCCTGGTGGCCTCTTTAGCAGTGGGGACGTGGCCCCTTACACCAAGCTCTGCTGTAAGGGCTTCTGTATCGACATCCTCAAGAAGCTGGCTAAAGTGGTCAAATTCTCCTATGACTTGTACCTGGTGACCAATGGCAAGCATGGCAAGAGGGTGCGCGGTGTGTGGAACGGCATGATCGGGGAGGTAGGCTTTCCCCAGGTCCAGCCCAGGCTGCCCTGTCTGCTGCCAGCCCTATGCATCTCTCAGCCCGCTCTGGGATGAGGAAGCCTGGGTTGTTGTCGGTGATGACCCCTGGAGGGGTCAGTTCTGAGAGCTGAGCTCTGAGGTCCCCATCAGGGAGCAACCAGATCTGCTGGTGTGGGCTGGAAGGGCTTGGGGACTGGAAGGATGCGCCAGCCCTCCCTTCTCAATGCCCTCATGGCCTCCAGGTGTACTACAAGCGGGCAGACATGGCCATCGGCTCCCTTACCATCAATGAGGAGCGCTCTGAAATTGTAGACTTCTCCGTACCCTTCGTGGAGACCGGCATCAGCGTGATGGTTGCTCGCAGCAATGGCACTGTCTCCCCATCTGCTTTCCTGGGTGAGGTTTGTGTGGACAGGGATGGCTCTGGGCAGAGGGGCCCAGCGGTGGGTGAGTGGGGCATGGGTGGAGGTGGGGAGTTTGGGGTGAATTCTCAGAGGCACCTAGCATAAAACCTTGGGAGTCTTGGAGGCTGGCTGGAGGCAGGTGAAGTGGAGGGGAAGGAGGAATGTAGATGTTGGGGTCAGAGCCTGGGTGGAGGTGGGGAGAGTCAGACAGGTGATGGCACCATTGTGAGGGATGGAAGCCAGGCTGGCAGGCTGGCTGCAGGCTGTGTTTTGGGTTGGACCATGGATCAGGGATGAAGCGCTATGGTAAGCCATACTAATTTCTTACTCAATTAGGAATTCAGCATTGTTTGGGTAGCCCTGTTGTGCCAGGCCCCAGTTAGGTTCTGGGGATACAGTCATGTTCCTTGCCTTCCCAGAGCAACCAGGCAGGGGATGTGAGGGCAAAGGAAGGCTTAGGGTGGGGTGATGTGTGCCTTGCCCAGGGCAGGAACCTTGGACACTGCAGAGCCTTGTTTTCCTGTGGAGTCCCTCTGGGGCTCTGCCAATCTGAGAGCCAGGGGCCCCCGTGGCTCCATCTGCAGAGCTGGAGGGCCCCTACTTTGACAAGTGAAACTCACCAGTCATCGCCTTGTGCTGCTGGGACTTGGTGGGGGAGTGTGCTAAGGTCTCTGAGCCACCTGCCTCCATCCCCAGAGCCCTACAGTCCTGCAGTGTGGGTAATGATGTTTGTCATGTGTCTTACGGTGGTCGCCATCACTGTCTTCATGTTTGAGTACTTCAGCCCGGTCAGCTACAACCAGAACCTCACCAAGGGCAAGAGTAAGCTCTCACCTTGGCATGGGTGGAGGGCCATGGTGGTATGGAAGTGATGAAGTCCCCAGCGTCCACCCTCTTGTCCACCCAGAGACCGGGGGCCCATCCTTCACCATTGGCAAGTCTGTCTGGCTGCTGTGGGCTCTGGTCTTCAACAACTCAGTGCCCATCGAGAATCCCCGAGGCACCACCAGCAAGGTCATGGTCCTGGTGTGGGCCTTCTTTGCCGTCATCTTCCTGGCCAGCTACACAGCCAACTTGGCTGCCTTCATGATCCAGGAGCAATATATTGACACCGTGTCAGGCCTCAGTGACAAGAAGGTTTCTGGACCATGGCCAGTGGAGGGTGGGGGGACACCGAAGGTGGGGACAGGCCTTGAATGAACAGACATAGGACAGTTGGAGTCCGGGGAGTTTGAACTGGAGGCTGGAGTGGGATAAAGCCAGTGAGGCCAGGTGAGGAGGGAACTGGGGGCTGAGGCAGTGATTGCTCAGGCCCACTGACTGAGTGGTCATGGTTATGTCTCCCCCTGTCTTTGGGCCTCTGAGTCCCCATTTGTAAGATGCAGGAGTGGTCCTTGTATTCTGATTATGCAGGTGCAGCCTGGGGGTGGGGCTCTGGGGCTTGGGGTTGGGGCTGGTACCTGGCACGAGGGGTGCGAGTGGCTACCATCTACCTGCAGTTCCAACGGCCTCAAGATCAGTACCCACCCTTCCGCTTCGGCACGGTGCCCAACGGCAGCACAGAGAGGAACATCCGTAGTAACTATCGTGACATGCACGTCCACATGGTCAAGTTCAACCAGCGCTCGGTGGAGGATGCACTCACCAGCCTGAAGATGGGGTGGGTCCTCAGCCCTGTCCCCCCTGCCCTCTGTCTCCAACCACAGGTCTCCCCAGTGACCAGCCTTAGTCTGTCCCTTCCTTAGAGACCCAAGGTAGGGACAGTGGAACTAGTTCGTCCTGCTGGAGTCCTAGGGAGGGGTGAGGAGGTCTGGGGGCAGAGTGGAGCTTGGAGGTGATGCCCAATATGTGCTGTTGGGGGTTGGGACCTTCTCTGGGTCATAGGGGCATGAAGGGGCTGGGTGGAGGGGTGTGCATCCTCTGGGTCAGAGTTCCTTGGTGGGAGGGGTCATTGCAAGGGAGCCAGAGAAGGTTCTGTCCACTCATCCCTTCCTGACAGTGTCCCTCAGGCTCAAGGGCTTAGACGCCTGTCAGGGTCCAAGTTCAGGCCCCTTCCACCTACATGGTTCCTGGCTCTGAGGGCTCAGCCTGTCCCCAGGAAGCTGGACGCCTTCATCTATGACGCGGCTGTCCTCAACTACATGGCGGGCAAGGATGAAGGCTGCAAGCTGGTCACCATTGGGTCTGGCAAGGTCTTTGCCACCACTGGCTACGGCATCGCCATGCAGAAGGACTCCCACTGGAAGCGGGCCATAGACCTGGCCCTCCTGCAGTTCCTGGGGGACGGTGGGTGCTGCCATTGTGGGGGGAGGGGCTGGGAAGAGTCTTGGGGGTCCACTGAGCATCTCCACATTCACCTCTGTGTGCACAGAGCTGTGGGTAGGGAGAGGCCTCTGGGGGTGAGATTGGGGCAGGTAGCAGGAGTGGCTGGATAGAGATCCAGAGAAAGGGTGGACTTGCAAGAGGGAGTGAGGACCAGAGCTGGGGAGTCCCCAAAGATCAGGGAAGATAAGAAGATACTTAGGCCACAGGGTGGGAGTTGTGGGTAGCTCAGCTGCTTTCCTTTGCCTCAAGACCCCTCCCAATGTCTTTCTCAGATGAGCACCTACTTTGCCAAGTTGCTCCCCCATTTCCATTTTGAGATTTCCTGGGGGTAGTGCCAAGAACCTGGCTAGTCCAGAGCCGTGACCAGGCTAGCCTTGGCAGCAGGGCTCGTGGGTGTGAGTGGTCCAGCCCAGCTTGCCCCTAACCCAGAGGGAGCTTTGAGTTTTGAAGAGTTCCAACCTTATTAGATAAAACTGATGGAGCGGGGGTGGGGTGGGGGGGGAGTGGTTCATGCCTGTAATTCCAGCTCTCAGGAAGCTGAGGCAAGAGGATCATGAGGTCAAGGCCAGTTTGGGCTTTGTATGGAGACACTAAAAATTGCCCCCTCCAATCTCACCAAATCTAAAATGCTGCCTGATTTCCTGCTAATACTGTTTAACAGCATCAATGATTTCCTGGGGACCAGCTCCAGGCTTGGCATGTGATCAAATGTGTGATGTGAATGAATAAATGAATGAATGCTAAAACTTATCACCAAGTCTTTACTGGGTGGGAATGTGGACACCCAAAGGCTGGCATGGCCCCTGCCAGCCTCAGCTCTGCTTTCTTTTCTCTTTGCTCAGTGGCTGACACCAATCTTGCTGGGCTGGATCCCTGTGAGCTCACAGTTGTGGGACAAGGGGGTAGACCCTGGCCCCAGACCCTTCCTCCATCCAGGCTTGGAGTGAGTGTTGGTGGGGGTCTTTTACGAGGATTTTTGAGCCATGTGTCCCCTCTCCCCCAGGAGAGACACAGAAACTGGAGACAGTGTGGCTCTCGGGGATCTGCCAGAATGAGAAGAATGAAGCAATGAGCAGCAAGTTGGATATTGACAACATGGCGGGGGTCTTCTACATGTTGCTGGTGGCCATGGGGCTGGCCCTGCTGGTCTTTGCCTGGGAGCACCTGGTCTACTGGAAGCTGCGCCACTCGGTGACCAATACATCCCAGCTGGACTTCCTGCTTGCTTTCAGCAGAGTAGGTGCCCTGCCTCCCCACACAGGCCCCACCTTTAGGGACAGAGGTCCTGAACAACTGGCCAGAATGACAGATTGGAATCCTCCCTATCGTTTACCAGTGACTGTGATTAGGAGAAAGAATCAACCTCCAAAGTCTCAGATACGTCATTCATCTACAGAGCAGCACAGTACCTGGCACATAGGGGACACTTAAGTAGCTGCTTCCGGGACTTTAGAATGCTCATGCGTCCTCTAGAGGGGGGCGCGGCTCACCACCACCTGTTTCCTCCCTCCTGCCCAGGGCATCTATAGCTGCTTCAACGGGGTGCAGAGCCTCGCCAGCCCCTCACGGCCTCCCAGCCCGGACCTCACGGCCAGCTCAGCCCAGGCCGGCGTGCTCAAGATGCTGCAGGCAGCCCGCGACATGGTGTCCACGGCGGGCGTGAGCAGCTCCCTGGACCGCGCCACGCGCACCATCGAGAGCTGGGGCAACAGCCGCCGCGCGCCCCCGCCCGCCTGCCCCGGGCCCCGCCCGCCCACCCCTCGTCCGCCGCAGGAGCCGAACCCCAGGGCCTGGGGACCGCCTGGCGGGTGCCACGCTGCGCCGGTGCGCAGGGTCCCGCAGCCCCCGGGGCGCCCCCCGACGCCTGGGCCGCCTCTGTCCGATGTCTCCCGGGTGCCGCGCCCGGCCGCCTGGGAGGCACGGTGGCCAGTGCGAGCCGGGCACAGAGGGCGACACCTCTCTGCCTCTGAGCGGCGCGCGCTCCCAGAGCGCCCCCTGTCGCCTGCACACTGTCACTACAGTTCCTTCCCTCGAGCAGACCGGTCCGGGCGCCCTTTCCCCCCACTCTTCCCGGAGCCTCCGGAGCCAGACGATCTCCCGCTGCTCGGGCCCGAGCAGTTGGCCCGGCGGGAGGCCCTGCTGCGCGCGGCTTGGGCCCGAGGTCTGCGCCCACGCCACGCTTCCCTGCCCAGCTCGGTGGCCGAGGCCTTCGCTCGGTCAGGCCCCCTGGCGGCCGGGTGCACGGGTCACGCCTGCGCCTGTCCTCACCGCAGGCCCGTCTGCGGGCGATCGGCGCAGGCGCAGTCATTGCAGCTGCCCACCTGCCGGGAGGCCGTGCGGGCGGGGGTGCCAACCTGGCAGCCCAGACAGCACGTCTGCCTGCACACCCATGCCCCGCTGCCGTTCTGCTGGGGAGCTGTCTGCCCTTACCTCCCACCCTGTGCCAGCCATGGCCCCTGGCTCTCTGGAGCCTGGGGGTCGCAGGCACACAGCAGCAGGACCCTGGGGCTGAGTACAGGCTTCAGGGACAGTAGAGTGCTAGAAGAGGTCAGCTGCGGAGCCTGTGGGACTCAAGGCTTCCAGGGACCCTGCACCTGGAGGCGGATCTCCAGCCTGGAGTCGGAGGTGTGAGGTCACCGCCTCTTCCGGTTCCTTCTGGGCTGGATCCTCTTCCTGGCACTGCCAGGGTTACAGAGCAGGCAGGCTTGGGCCTTTCTAGCTCCTACCATGAATTTCTGGCCATGGGACCCCAGTGGCAGATAAAGTCTTCAGTGACCTTTGTGGACTCAGGTCTGGCCATAGGCTGGCTGCTATTGTCCCCTCATTACACAAAGTCCTGTCCACTCAGCCTGGACTCGCAGGGAGCAGAGGGGTAGGATTCCTGAGGGTGTCCCTGCCCTGGTGTTAGCCAGTACCTGGTCATGGTTGTTGTGGCCATGGAATGGGGGCAAAGAGGCTGGAACTTGGGATTCCATCCTGCCCCTTGTTCCAAACTGGTGGACTTCATTTTTAGTGGAATACTGGGACATTAAACCAACCTTTTAAAACCCACTGGTGCTGACTGCCTCGTTCTGCATCATGGAGGGGGCACAGCACAACCTGTAGGTGGCAGGAGCATCATGGGAGTTTCCCAGGTGGGCATATTTGGAGGACGTGGGAGCTTCACATGTCTGGGAGGGATGTAGGAGGCGAGGGAGGGGCTCAGGGTAGCAGAAGCAACTTGGTGTTCAGGGCCAGCTCCACTGGTGTTCAGTGTGACAAATGAGCACAGCATGGAGGCCTTGGTGGTGATGGGTGGAATTTGTCCCTCAGTTTCCTTGACAAGGGAGGCTGATGCCAGTACTGTGACTGTCCTGTGGGGAGCTTGCCAAGCTTGCCTGGGGCCTAGCTGGCTGCATTTGCTCTGTGGGCTCTGAAAGCCTGGTGCAGGTGGCATTCTGGGGTCAGGCATGGCTCAGCTTCAGTGATACCTGGGTTTTTTTGCAGGTACTGGGGTTTGAACTAGGCCTACACCTTGAGCCATTCCACTAGACCTTTTCTGTGATTTTTTTTTTTGAGATAGGGTCTCAAGAACTATTTGCTGGGTTGGCTTCAAACCGCAATGCCTCCTGAGTAGCTAGGATTACAGGTGTGAGCCACCAGTGCCCGGCCTAGACTTCTCAGGTGGGAGACTCTGCCTATCCTTCTGGCCCTCCATCCTCCCTCTGAGGCCCCCAGCCACCCTCCCTTCACTGTTCCATATCATTGGCTGTGGGCCATCTGAAAAGATGGCTCGTTTACAGTCCTTGATGTTTTCACATCTTTAATTAATTACCTCCCCCACGATGATTCTGTGAGCAAGCATTCATCCATCCATTCGTTCCACAAATATGGCAAGCACTATGGATTCTGTCAACCCCTTTCCCAAGGCTGAGGCCCCAGTGTCCTCTACAGGTTGGGTGGAAGTTGCAGATGCCAATTCCGTGTGACAGAGAGGAAGGCAGGGAGGGGTGGTGCTGATGCAAAGACCACTGGAGACTCTGCCCAGGGTCTTCTTGTGTAGTTCCTTGATGGTGGGTAGGAAGCCAGGTTCTCTCTTTAGTCTTCAAAGACCTCACAGCTTGGGTGGGAATCATAACAACAGGATCTTTTAGGTTTGGTTTTAGGGATGAAAGCAGCCAAAATGGTAGGGTGGGATATAACTCCATTCATGGCCAGAGCCTGACCACCCCAAGAACCAGTGGCCCCATCTGATACAGTCAAGTTCACCATCTCTGCCCTGTGAATTTTCACAGGGTGGAGCCAGGCTCAGGATTAGGGCTCAGCAACAGGTGGGAGTGTGAGTCTAGGTGAGGGCTCAGGGCAGCACTACAGAAGCTTGACCTTGGCTGCAAAGTAGCGCCAGGTTAACCGCTGGCCACCGGTACCTGGACCTGAGCCCTCATTCTCCCTGAGTCGGGGTCTGCGTGCAGCTCAGCATGGGGAAAGGTTACAGAGGTGAGGCTGGGGGAGGTGTGAGGTCTAGGCTGCTTTGCTCGCTGCCCAAGATCATTAATAACCAAGAACTGGAAAGATAATTAAGAGCCGAATGTGGAGCAGAGCCTACTGCTGGCTCGGAGGGGCCGCTCCTGCTTGCCGGGCCAGGAGCTGGCTGACTCCTTCCTTGCGTAGGAACATATGGGAAGAGGGTGCAGGAAGGACGCTCCCTGAGTTTCAGAGCTGGATGGCCTGGCTTTCTGCTCAGAGGGGCAGTGTCCCTGCCTCCTGCACCTCACAGGGGAGGCAGAAAGGCCAGCAGGGAGGATGGGAGGCCATAGATATGAAAACATCCCACACAGGCCTGATGACCTAGACCCTCACTGTACTTGTTCCCTTTTGGTGGGACACAGGAAAAGACACCCTATCATGAGTCTCCAGTAGGAAACTTAGTCTGACTGCTTCCCTTCTGCTGCTGCCCTGTTCTCCCTCCTCTATCTTTAGTTCACATCAGCCTCTTCCAGGGTACCAGGTGAGGTGCTGGGGACAGAACTTGCACAAGGGCCAGCATGATGTCCTCATCCAGGAGCCCCCACCCTTACCTGTTCGCTCTTTGTAAGGCGAGGCCTGTTCTCAAGTTTCCCAGGGGACTGGGGAACCAGAGTCAAACCCTCTCCCTCTAGACCCTGAAAATTCAGGTTCATTTCTTGGCTGGAATCGCAGCAGGCAGTGGCCACAAGATCCTTGCTTCATTAGGTTGCTATGAAACCAATTCAGGTGTCTGGAGTCCTAAGTAAGTCCTGGGCTATGAGTGCAGTTATGACTGGCAAGTGACAAAAGAGACGGGCATTGGTAAACAGTAGCTTTATTGAGCACTTCTGTGCCAGGCACTAAGCTCAATTTGTTATTCCCACGACCGTGGGTCACAAAGGTGCCGTTAGCCATTTCACAGAGGGAGCACTCACAGAGGCTCACTGCTTGCAGGCAGCAGGTTCTAACTGCGTGATCTTCACAAAGAACCCAGTACCATGTCTGGCATACAGCAGGCCCTTGCACAGGTTCTGTCTTTTTCTGCACTGTGTCCCAGGCCTGGGGTGGAGGGATGACAGGGCTTGCCTGCAGCCAGGATTTTGGTGCTAAGAGCCAGCTTTTCAGTGGCTCTTAGTACAAGCCAGCCTTGCTTAAGCCTCTAACCCCTGGTCAGGCCAGCCACTTCCCAACCAGCATGATGTTGGGGGTCCTGGCTGAGGACATCATGATGGTTGGGAAGTGGCCGGCTGTGCCAGGCCCTGCTCAGTTGGTTTCCCAAGAGGCGGGACCAGCCTATGCTCTCCACCACTCTGGCCTTAGCCTCTGCCTGTTGCTGAGGCTTCTCTTGGCCTCATGTAGTGAGAACAGCTGTGTGGCTTGGGGCCTGGCCTAGTGCTTGCTGCCACCTTCCACCATTCAGCAGTGCCTCCCAGCCTGTCACCTGCCATCTGCCCCATTTACTAGCCTTAGGTGAGGAGCAGCCAGAGCTGTTGGCACCAGGCTCCAATGCTCAGGTGGGGCTGGTGCTTCAGCAGGGAGCGAGGGGAAGAATGTTCGCTACCACCTTGACCTGGCCTGGCCTCAGGGGCCAGTGTCCAGGGCCCTGTGTGGGGATGACAGTGGCAGTGGCTGAGTTTAACATCTCCATGGTGACACTTGTGCCTGGGACCAGGCTGAGCAGGCCTCTTCAGTTGTCCTGCCCACACTGACTCCCAGGGCCCCTCTGCAAATGGAAACCATGACCCACCTGCCCACCTCACCATGTTGACATAAAAACGTGCAGTTGACTATGCTCGATACACATGAGGACTGACCGTCACTTGGGCATGTCTACCTGTTACGGTCCTCTCCCCTTTTCCTTCAACTCTCATATCAGTGACACATGCCTGGCATGGAGCAAAGGTGACCCCATCTGACCTCTAGCAGGACAGACAGCAGGTGGAGACCCAGGAGCAAAGAAACCAGACAGTGGCTGTGAGGAGGGCCCTGGCTCAGCATCAGTAACATGGTCACTTCGGGTCAGTTCCCTCCAGGGCCAGGGCTGCCCCAGCTTGGCTTGGAGGTAGAGGGAAACACAGACACTGACTCCATTGCTGTGTGTGGCTCCAGATTGTCACATAAATCAACCTGGGCTTTATGATGCTAATAAACTTGTGTCCAAAATTTGGTTTGGAGCCCAGGCAGCAGGATGATTTAATTTGCTTTGTCCTTAAGCAAGAGGGAATGCAACTGGAGAAGGGTAAGCACAGATGTTTTAATTGAGTTCTCAGCCAACAACTGGGCAGCTTCAGGGAGGGCCTGAGCACAGAGAGACGGCGGCCTTGTCTTTGTTATTCTTGCTCTTGCCACTGTCTTGGCCTTGCCACCATGGTATCCACCTTGCTTGGCCCACCCCAGGGCAAGGTCTCCTGGGAAGATGCTACAGTGGCAAATGGGGAAGGACTGAAATGATGATATGTGGGGAAAGCTGTGAGAAAGCAGACTGAGGCTGATCATGACCCAGGGATTCTTCAGGTAGGGATGCCAGGGCCAGAGGTGGAGGGTGCAGCCTGCAGACCCCACATTCCTTGCAGGTCCTGCACATCCTCTGGGCCCCAAGACACCCAGAGTCATCACGTTGTCAAACTTTAAAGATGGTGAGACACAGAAGGGAAGTGGCGAAGGTTCCCTCATGAGGGTGGAGCAAGGCACTGAAATCAAGAGGGAGCGGCAGGACCCAGAAACCCCAGAGGCAGCTCTAAGGCCAGCTTTTCTGGGCTCCAGGACAGGTGGAACCAGGCCCAGAGCCGGGGCAAGCCAGGGTCAGGTAGATCCTCGGGGCCGGAAGCAGAAGGCACATTGAAATGCAGAGTTCATTAGTCACCCATGTTTCTGAGGCCACGAGCCCCACAGATGCATGCATGATTGAGTAGGAGGTGGCTGGTGGCCTGGCCTCTTTCCATGGTGATAGCAGTGGCTGCCCCATCTGACCCTATGGCAGCCAGGACATGGACAGGGTGTTGACACTGAACACCCATGGCCCTGCTCCTGAGGGCCCCACTTTAGTGTTGGAGTACAGTGTGGTGGCCAGCTGGACTGACCTTCTACAGGTGGGAGCCATGGAGCCCTCGCTCTGCCACATGCTCAGGCCAGTATGCCATGGGGAGTGGTGTTGGGGCAGCCAGAAAGCAGAGGATCTCTCTGAGGGGCCGTAAGCCGAGAGCTTTAAGGCCAGCTTCCAGGTTGTTGGGCATACATGGAAAGAATGTTCCATTTGCTTACTGCCTCAGAGCTGGCGCCCACAGCAAGGGCCCTCACAGCTCTGGTCTAGAGACCCCGGTGCCAATTAGCACTTTCTGTTCTTGTCACTGGGGTTGGCTAGGTCCTCCCCTAGGAGTGGCACTTAGCGACTATCAGGCCTGGCAGGAAGGTGGCACCTACCTGTCATAGGCTGGACTAGGATAACTAGGGCCGGGGATTCATCTCTCAAGAGACAGCAGCTGCCAGTGGACAGACAAGGATGCAGGACGGGGATGAGGAGGAAGGAGGAGGGGATATGTGTCTGGTATAAATAACAGCAGTGCCAGCACTGCATCTCCCACCACAGAGGGAGAAGCCATCCTCCAGTGGTGGGGGGCGGAGGAGCTGTGTAGAACAGAGGGGCCATCCTGGAACCTGGGAGTAGCCACATACTGTCTCTGGCAGAAGGGCTGCGCTGGTGGGTGGGTGAGGCTGGGAACAGACTGGGCAGAGTCCTGGGTGGAAAGGAGACCCCTAGCCTCACCTGCTCATGAAGACCTGTGTGGCCACTAAATCTTACTCTGTGGCAGGGAGGCCAAGGCTTGACTCCCAGCCTCCTGTCACCAAACATGTCCTGACATCAGAGCTTGGTTTCAGTGAGGACGATATTGGCTGTGACAAAGAAGAAGCAGGAGAAAGCCCAGAGCAGCACAAAGCCCACCCAGAAGGTGTGGTGGAATGGGGACCTGTGCTTGTTGACGGTTCCATAGCCAAAGGCCAGCTGTGTGTCCTTGCGGCAGAGGTACACCAGGAAGGCAGGGATGACGTACTGGATGCCGGTGCCTGCGTAGGCCCCTGTGATGCCTACTAGGGACTCCAGGTCATGGGTGCAGAAGGCCACCAGCACAGGGGGCACCAGGGTGATAGTGGGGAACACTACACGGTCCACTACCCAAGGGTATGTGCCACCTTCACGGTGGAAGAGCGTCTTCCAGTTGTTGCGCAGGGTCACCGCGATGATGGGGAAGTTGGTACTGATGGTGAAGACAGGGAATAGGCCTAGGAAGAAGCGGATGGCAGCTAGGCCCACGATGTCGCAGCGTGCAAAGTTGAGGGTGTACATGTCGAGGAGGCTGTCACTACGGAAGCAGAAGATGGCAGTGAAGGAGAGGAGGCCATAGAAGGCCAGGATAAGCACGTAGTCTAGGAACACCAGGTGAGTGAGGTAGCGCTTGGAGGAGACGGGGGTGACGAGGGACGGCAGGGAGTGCTGGCACATGAAGGAGTAGACGCATACCCCAAACAGGTTCCGGACTCCTGAGAAGTCAGCCAGGGGCGGATGCCCCTCCCCTTGCCCATTCCCAATGCGGACCAAGGCCAGCACAATCATGATGGCAAAGGCTGGAAAACAAGGAAGGGGAGTCAGCAGGGGCTGGAAACCACCCCACTGTGACAGTTCTTGGTCTGGGGGACCTGTGGAGGGACTTGACCCCTGCAAGAAGGAACCATCACATGACCCCAAAGTCACGTGGGGGCAGGTCAGCCATGGCTGCTGACCTTCTGTATGTCCCACACAGTCTTCTCCATGTCTTGTTCCCCCTACCCCCCCTTCCCCAGCACAGGGGTCTGGGCATGATCCAGAGAAAGGTGCTAGTTAATAAGCAGGGTGGCCCAACTCTGGTCAGGTACTAGCAGCTTCCTCCTCAGCCCCTCAGAGCTCTCTTGGGAATTCTGCCAGCATCCTGCCAGGGAGCAGGCTGGGTCAGCACCTAGGGCTTCTCTCGCCAGTGGTTTGAAAGATGTATCTGTGGAGAGCCGGGGAGGGGGAGGTAGAGGGCAGAGGGAGCACAGAACACTGGGAGGTGTCCTCTTGGGCCCAGGGCATCTGCTATATGAGCTGAGGGTAAGAGTGCTCAGTACTGTGCAAGGTGGGTGCCCAGGGCCAACAGTGGGCAGTAAATGAAGAGTGGTCACCCCAGGGCAAAAATGGTACCAAGGCTATAGGCAAATGGCACATTGGGGTCTGGTGGTACAGTTTGGGGACAGGGGATCTGCTGCAGAGAAGAGGACCTGTGACACTATATGTTCAGAGCAATCAGGCTACATCACCGATGGACAGCAGGCTGGCGCAGCGGCCTATCCCCAGAATGGAAGCTCGCTGAAGGTGGTGCCAAGCATAGCGCTCATACAGCCAGGTTTAGGAAGAACTGTATAACCAACAGAAAGGTACTCTCAGCATGCAGAGAAGATGCATTTCTAGATCTTTTGGTGTTTCTCCAGCTTCTGGTATCTTATGCAGATTTCCCACAACAACCACTGTTAGCTACTTAACCACAGAGACCGCTGGGGTCTCCATCTGCATTGGGATTTATAATTCATGCTGTCTGCTCAGAATAGATCTGACAGCCCCACTAGCCTGTTCCCAATTCCTCAGACGAAGCCAGAGGACATATGACACTTCTTGGTAAGCAGTGTGAAGGAGCAATAGGCCGAGAGGCCAGTGTGCAGCTTGGCCACTGCTGCCTGCTGGCCCCATCAGAAGTTCAGGCTGTTCCCCAGGTGTGAGGCTGGGGGACCTTCACTGTCCCCTTTAGGTCCCTGGCTCCTACAAAGGGAGAGGTCATTCTGCTGGGACCCACAAGAAGCCAGAGCAATATCTTCCCACAATGACACTTGGAGTGGGATGGAAGCATCTATTACTTTTAATCAGCCTGACACTGTCGGGGATAGGAGGGGAGGAGGGAGCACAGGAACAGGCCTGTGAAAATTGCCAATAAAGAAGATGATTTGTTTCTGCTTCTCATAGCTGCCCATCCTGCTGCTCCAGGGCATCACAAATCTTTCCAGCCCTGGTCAGTCACGGGGAAGAGCGACCTAGCTCTCCTCCCTGAGTCTGTCCTAGAGATTCCTGGGATGGGTGGGGAGGCAGAGGTCTGTGAGGAAGACCAGCCTCATAGGAGGTATGCTGGGGCAGGAAATGGGAGAACTGGCTAGCTGGATGGAAGTAGAGGCCCATGTACCAGGAAGGGCACCAAAGCCACAGAGCAGGGGCAGCTGGCAGACTAGGAGCCTGGGCATTTGGTGGCTAGTTATTCCAGAGACTGTAGCAGGCAGCTGTGACACTATAGGCAGGATACTGGGTCAGTATCCTGCCACAGGGTAGCTACTGCAGGGCAAGTTTCAAATTCTGGGACTGGAGGCATGGCACAAGTGATGGAGTGCCTGCCTCATGCTGCAAAACCATGAGTTCAAACCCTAGGAACAGGAAAAAAAAAAGTTTCAAATTCTGTTCTGTCACCACTGCTGAGAGCACCACCTGTGACCTGCCTTGCTTTAGGCCCTGGCCAAAGCTGGCAAGAATTTGGAAAAAAGCCAGTGGAGAAATCCTCTAGCAAGTCAGTTACTTGACCTTGGCCTTGGGTCCCTTGGTTCTTCAGCAGCAAGAAAGCAGGAAGGGGTTGGCGGAGTGGCTCAAGTAGTAAGAGTGGCTGCCTAGCAAGCATGAGGCCTGAGTTCAAACCCTAGTACCACCAAAAAAAGAAGACAGGAAGAAGCAGGCTGCTGGGATGTGAGTGCCTCATTATCACTCTCAGACCTGATGCCAGCCACTGGTGCTTTTTTGCTCACCTTCCGCAACCAGCCCTAAGTCTCCAGGGGTTTAAGGAAATGCAGGTGGAAACTGGCTTGCTTATTCAGGGAGTGGTCTGGACAGCCCGGACTGGGGGCTTTCCTTACCGACAGTAAGCCAAGTTATGAAGCACACTCCCACAGCAATGAGACTTGCTTCATAAAGCACACACTAGTGGCCCCTCCATATACACCTTGAATCAGGGACTGAGCCCCCTGCTTGGGGTCCCTACAGTAGCTGTCTTGAGGGGTTGCATTTTTATGTCAGTGAGCATCTGGGGCCTTTTCTAGAACTTTCAGGATGGCCTACATAGGTAGGCAATAAGATGTATTTCACAATTCTTTAGCCATAACTTGTTTTATCTGATAGCACTACTACCTAAATTAGTCACTCATCTGGCTGTCTCTCTCTCTCTCTTTGGTGGGACTGGGGTTTGAACTTAAGGCTTTGTGCTTCCAAAGCAGGGGCTCTACTGTTTGAGCCACACATTCAGTTCATTTTGCTGTGGTTAATTTGGAGATGGGGTCTCGAGAACTAGTTGTCTGGGCTGGCCTGGAACTGCTACCCTCCTGATCTCAGCCTCCCAAGTAGCTAGGATTACAGGTATAAGCCACTGGTGCCCAGCCTATCTGACTCTCTTAAACCTTTTCATTAAAAAGTCTATTTCTGAAAACCAAATCTGCCCTTGAGGTCAGGTGTTTCTTCCCACTCAGAAACGAAGAAAAGATTCCAGAAGCTCTTGGAAGCGATTCCAGGAGTGCTGAAAAGTGGTTACTCCATGGAGTAGTGACTCCTCAGTAAGCAGCTGGTGGGGACAGGCTCACTGGTGGCCTTGTAGTCTCCTCAAGCCAGCCTCACTCCCTCCTTCCCTCCCATTAGTCACATGGTCTGTCAGAAGCTAACTCAGCTGTGTGCGACACAGGAAATGTCTCTGGCTCTGCAAAGAGCACACCATAGCACCTCTGACTAAGTAAGGTGGTCACCCTAGCCCTTGGTGGGTGTGTACCCTTGCTGTGTGCCAGGCCAAGCTCTGTTTTCTGACGCTTGACAAAGTATGGGGCACACACTGTCAAACCAGAGGGAGGGAGGTGGTTCTCCAAGAGCATGTGCCCACAGAATAGCCGAGACTGACACAGGTGAGGACCTGCCTCACCAAGGAAGCACTGTTGAGGCCTGAGAGCAAGCCTCAGCTGACCACAGAAAAGGCAGGCCCTTCGGCTCTCTACCACCATAAGGACACTGAGGACATGCAGGCAGTGCTGCCTATCCCTGGGACGGGAGAGAGAAGGGAGGTGTTTTGGTCTGGCCTACAAATGGGTAAGTTAAAAAGAAACTTGTACAAGGCTAAGCCTGGGTTCCACTAGATAGAGAAAAGGAAGGAGGCGGGAGGGTCATGGGCTCAGGGCTGCAGGGATCCAAGGCCTACCCCTCACTGTCCTGGGACCACACCTCTTTGTCCCTGGCACCTCCCTCCCTCTGTAGGCTGTAGGAGGACAGAGTTCAACAGCTATCTCCTAGATTGATTGCTCCATCCCTGGGAGACAGCTGCTCCAAAAACTCATTAGGTCTGCTCATAAATCAAGGTGAAATGAGGATGACAGCTCGTGAGGGACAGATACTGCCAGGAGGTGTGGCTCAGAGTACACACACTAGCGCTCAGGGCTCGTGCTCACCGCAAGGCTGCGTAGGAGGCGTGGGTGGACGGAGGTGAGACAAGGTACCAAGCATTCCCCAGTGAGGACTTTCCCATCAGGGGAGTTGTCCCTGGGCAAGGCCTGTAGGTCTGTCGGGGCAGGGCTGGCTTGGTCTCTGCTCTATCACAGGCCAGGCTCAGAGAAACCATGTCTGCACTCTTCTGCATTCCACACCAGAAGTCACAGTCCAAGGGGTGAGGAAAAACATTGAGGAGCTGGAGGGGCTCAGACGAGAGTACTGACACTGTTTTAGGAGGACTGTCAAGCCTGGCCAGGCGCAGCTGGAGAGCAATGAGGGGACAGGGGACGTCTCTTCTAATACCCGAGCATCAGCATATGGTAGAAACAGCTGCGTAGGTTTTGTGTAACTCAAGGCTGAGCCAGGGCGACTCACTCACTCGTTCATTAAACAATGATGCACTGAGTGTCCACTGAGTGCCAGTACTATCCTGGCCAGGAGGGCAGGGATAGTGCCCAACACAGACAGGGGTATCATTCTCCTGGAGCCTATAGTCCAGGGGACCAGCTACCGAAGACCACTACAATAAAAGAAAGAACTGGTTAGTGGTCACATTGGCTGCGGGGTAGATGACATAACTATGGTGGGAAGTGTCCAAGTTCAAGGGTAGACAACCTGATAGGAGGGAGTCACAGAGAGGAGCCAAGTATCAGAAGGAACTTACAAGGATCTTTTGGGCTGTTCTACTTCCCAGGGCTGTGACTGCCACAACATGCTCTTGGGTTATGAGAGTGACAGGGTGGTGACAAGGAGTTGTCTGGCTGCCCCTCCAGTTTCTATTCTCCCTGTCCCTGACTCTGCCTGATACTGTGGCAGCTGATCTAAGTTCAATAAGCTGGGTTCACCATATTGATTCACCTTGAAGCGCAGCCTGCTCCACCTACATCTAACTCCTTGGGAAGGAGAGAGAAAGACAGGCACAGAAGGCAAGTCATTATCTCAGGAGGTGAGACAAAAACAGGTGCAGCTCCTGAGAGTCCAGCTCAGAGACAGGGCAACTCCCTTCCCTTTCTGTTAGATTAGAGTAAAAGCAAGAGTTAAATGAGGGTGGCCCTGCCTA